TCCATTTTACTCCATTATACAGCAAAAATTCCGATTTATTCATTTATTATAAAAATGGAATTTTTCCGGGTCTCTGATCTTATATTATGCTAAAATTATTACATAATATAAAATATAAGATTCTTAATTATTTCTAACTTTAATTTAAAGTTTATTTTTTGATATTTAATTATACTAATTATACTGTATATCAATTGATTTAAAAAAATATATAGTATATTATATATAGTATTGCAAGTATTGCAATAATATTTCTGCCAACTTAACTTGGATATCCTTTAGTATTTATCAAATAATTTTTAACTTGTTAGTTTGTGATTGTATCATAATTTTCATTAAAGGTTAGAATTGAAGTGTTGGATTAACTACAAAAAACATTAATATGTATATCTAAATTTTTTTTTAAAAAAAATCTCGCCTGCAACACTACTCGCACATAATTTTTTAAGAGGTTCTATTAATTCACTAAGATTTATTCTATATGCTTCTAATCGTAGTAACAACTTTATTTCCTACACGTTTCAATTCTAATTTTTGAATACGTTTGGCGCACCATTCCTATTTATTAATTTTTTTTTAAAAAAGATTAAATTAAATTTAAAACATATTTTTTGTTGTTATGGTGTTGTTATAAAAAATATTACCTCAATTCAGGATCATGATCAGGAGATATGACATAATGATATTTGTTGTACTAAATCATCCCTGATTTAGTTACTAAAGCATCTCGAATTTATTCGTAGGGAATAACCAATCTGAAAGGAAATAAAAAGTTTTGTTAAGATAACTCCAACAAAAGTAAAAATTCCGGGTTTTTATAGAGTTACAAACCTTCGATTTTGTTTATCGGAAAGATTATGAATGATCGTTTTAATTTCTTTATATTCACATGTAGTATCTTCAACGATACTTATAAAATGGAGTTGTGTTAGATTGGTTATTAAAAATAATAATGTATCTAATTTATGAAATTTAGCTTACTTTTGCCCTTGAGCTTTAAATATGTCTAAAATGGCACCTTTCGGCTTAAACACTCCTTAACCTGAATTTGCATAGATCCAAAACTGAAGTTAACGTTTTTGTTTCAAACTTCATTTATTTCAGGTTTGGTAGTTTGTGAGGTCGAGATGCATCTAAACTAGGATTGTAACCAACAAGATTAAAATTACAAATTGCCATAATTCGTAGTAGTTCACAAGATTTCTTACTTTTTGATTAGATTCTTTTATTTTGATAACTCCCTTTTTTTCCATAGCTTTCAAGAATTTTGATACCTATTAGGAAAAAATTTAATTAAAAGATTGAAATTGAAAAAGGATCAACTCTTAAGTCACAATTGTACCTTTTTATTGCTTGACTTTTAATGTCAACTTCATTTTCAGTACGAACAGAACGACATGGCAAAATATAGAGTAAAATTGTGAAGTTGCCATCGGCAATGGAGTGATAGGTGTTAATTTTCCAATAACGCTTGATAAAATGAAGCTACTAGTAATCTATCCACCTCTACATTAATTCACAAAGAATTTAATTAAAAGATAATTCTTTTTGTAAACTTTCATCATTTTCATCCATCACTTCAGATATTTCAGCAACTTTCAATACTGATGTATCAGCCTCAACAGCCTCTTGACATAATTTAACATCAGATAGTTCAAGTGGGCTAGATCGATCACCCATATTCCATAAATCATCAACAAATACATGAAATATATTAACCGCACCGCAACTCACTTGCGAGTTAAGTAATTTTTGTTGATATATTTATTGTCCCTACAGCGGTATTTTAAAACGAGTCAAAACAATTAAAAAGTTTTAAATATTTATTAATAAAAGAAAATATTATTACAATTAAGTGCTTACTTTAAATCTCTGATCACAATAGATACCAGTTCACCTTCATTTGCTTCAGGAAAATCTTCAGCAAATACCAGGAATCATTAAATTAGTTCCTCTGCCAGTTTAGAAATTACAGTGGTGAAAGTTGGTATTTTTGGTAACATATCCGAAATTTCCGCAAGGTATAAACTACAATGGAAAAGAACATTCCCGATTCATTAATAACGTTTTCGGTTTATCTTAAAATCTAGTTGTAAATATGATTACCATATGGAACCAAATGTCCTTTTTATCTTTATCTATCCTAAACCAAATAGGTTGCTTGTCGTTAGTAATGTAAATACATAATGTGTACCCGCATTTAAAACAAATTTAATTGATTGAATATGCTCTGATACTAAAAATGAATTTATTGGAGATTCTGTTGTATCTGTTGTGGATTGGTTAAGGTATGAAGTGATGATTCTAATGATGGAAACTTCTACGATCCGAACTTCGTAATAAGGATATGTTGTTTAATGTTTAATGAAGGTTTTTTGAACATGCTTAAGATAGAAATTTTTTTATGTGAAGTGAATTCAAATTATTATTTTATTATTAAATTAAAAAAAAAAAATTTTTTTGATCGGGATAAAAATGATTCGTCATTTTTATTCAGTTGGTACAAGGAATGGCGTAGTAACAATTCCTTTTATTTTTATCTTATTTTTCAATGACATACAAAATAATGCATCTGTAAATAAATGTTTTTAGTTTAGATGGCGTAATTATTGACGTAGAACCTTCGGGATAAGGATCTGAAATAAATACGTCATATCGTTTCGATATCACATGATTTTCTGAATAAAAAATGTACGTGTAAACAGTTTTGGTTTATTTATTTCTCTCTTGAAATTTGATTAAATCAGTCTTCTTCGCGTTCATTACATAAATAACTATATTTTACATAATACCGTTTTTCGAGATTTTTATTCGAATTTGCATAAAGAAAAACATACGTATTCTGTGACTGCAAGTTTTCCAAATCGACCTGTCAACCAACGCGTCTTTCATGTTATTCTTTTTTAGAAAGTCACTCCAAACTTAATGGTAAAATCTGTGGTATAAGATCAATTATCAGTCTGCAGTTATTCAGAGTTTCATCCTTTATACTTATTTTGAATTATCTCCATAACGATAAAGAGATCTTAAAACAAGGCAGTTTTTTCCTTGTAAAATATAGCGAATATACTTTTATTAAAAGACATAAAAAAAAAAATATACAATTATATGAAGTGACTGTTATGCATGATGAAACTAAACATTAATCAGTCAGGAATATTTAAGAGTTCAATTGATTTTCAGAGTGTATTGCTTGGGCACGATTTTCATTTCACATTTTTTTTATTACGATCTTCAGTAGAATGTCTCTGATCATGAAGTTTTTAATTTAATTTTTGGTGGTTTCATTAGTTTATACCACTTACAAAAACCGTAAGTTGATCGATTTGTGGAGAAATTCTTTTATCTTTAAATAAAGCCTTTCAAAAAGTTCATTTTAATTGTAAATTTGTATATTAGATCATGTACTGTACCAAATTGATACGCATAAAATTAGTATTGCTATTTTTAGATGTTAATATATATATGATGGTACGTGAGATTGCTGCGTCGACTGAAGTCCCGTTTCAATTAAAAATTCTGTTTTATTTCTAGAGAATTTTTTTTTTAAAAAAAAAAATAAAACGACAACTTTAAACGAAAATTCGATGCTGAGGTTATTATAGAAACACATAAAACACTTGATTATCTTTTCAATTGTCTGAAAAAACATGTACTGTATATGCAGGAACAATTCAAAGCATTTATTTTTAGGACAGAATATATTACGTCAAATTCACATCATCGTTCGTGAAATAACTGACGATTCAAAAATAATTAACATAAAAAATTTGACTGGACAATAATTTTGATTATTTATCAACGCAAGCACAATAACGATATGTTGACTTAAAATATGAAGATAAGTTCATTTTCATTCTCTTTCTCGCCAATTATACTAAACTTTTTAAAAAAAATGAAAGAACCATTTTTAAGAACCACGAAAAAAGGTATAATGTTAATAACATAATTTAACAAATTTTTATTTTTAGACGAATTATACTTTTAAAAAACCTACTGAAAACAAACTTATTAATATAATAGAAGACGAATCGCAATATTATATGCTAAAAACTATATTTAAGATATGGCAATTTTTTAATGATTATGCATCTTTGATCATTTTGATTATTTTGATTTTTTTATTATCCTTAATTTTGAAAAATATATTGTCAACCACTACAAATACCAAATGATATTCAAAAATTACAGCTGATAAAAATTTAATTATTTCTGTAGGTGTCGTGTCCTATTCCGCATAATTGAATTGATATCGCGAAAAGTGAAAAAGAATAAATTATCTACTTGATAGGAAATGTTTTTTGGGATATTTATTAATTAGCCCCCCTTAGAAAATAAGCGATGGGACTTCTTGAAAATTTTACAGTTAGCACAATATTCTATTTTTACTATTTTACACTTAAATTATTTTTTTTATGTTGAAAACTGAAATAAAAGTATAAAAACAAGCATTATTTTATTAATGTAGCTAATTTTCATACAAACTCCGTGATATCACAAAAAATATTAAAAACAAGATCGTCTACATCATACGGGTGAGCAAGATAATATTTGTTGTTAATTTATATTTTTAAAAAAATTACATAAGTGATCACAGTAAAAAGACGGAAATAAGTAATAAAAACTTTATGACAAACTTATTTAATCTCATAGAATATGGCAAATATTTATAAACTTTTCACACGTCATAAGCAATCATAATTTTAAAATGAGCAATATCATAGAAACGATACTTAAATTTCATAGAATAAATGATTGCTAATGAAGAACGAGTCAGTGAACAAATTATCATCCGTATCATTTGATCATCATCTTTTCATTTTACTACGTTTTCAGTATAACCGCGAATTTCAATAAATAAAAAAAATCGCAGCGAGATTGATTGGTAAAATCATGTAAATTTTTTTAATTTTATAAAATGAATGAGGTTACGGTATTGTTTAAAAACTTGTGCGACTGAACTTGTCAACATTTTGTGAAACAATATATGTATAAACTAGAATGATCCGAAGAAAGTTCTGGATTTTGAGCAAGTCTCCATTTAAGAACATGATCCCAAACTTGAATTCCACTCATTGTAAGTTTATCGTTTGAAGGATAAAATAATCTAATTCAACAATCAGAGTTTAAATATGTAAAAGCTTATCATATCTTAATCCTCTAAAACATTATGTAGAAGTTAAAATTTTATGCAATAGTATAGGAGTTATTCGATTTAGCAAGACTGTTATTGAGGCGTTGAGTTTTTTAAAGATTCAGGTTTAATACTCGTTAAGGAATCGGGTAAATTTGGTAAGCTAGTTATCGGCGTATACCTACAGTCAAGTTCCGTTAAGGAGTTGGGTAATGTTGGTATGATAGTTATTGGAGTACGAGAGCAATCAAGTTCCGTTAAGGAGTTGGGTAATGTTGGTAGGATAGTTATTTGAGTTTGAGAGCAATCAAGTTTCGTTAAGGAGTTGGGTAATGTTGGTAAGCTTTTTATTTTAGTGCTATAACATTTGAGTATTGTTAAGGAGTTGGGTAATGTTGGTAGGATAATTATTCGAGTATAAGAGCAATCAAGTAACGTTAAGGAGTTGGGTAACGTTGGTAGGATAGTTGTTAGAGTATTTGAGCAATTAAGTTCCGTTAATGAGTTGGGTAATGTTAGTAAGCTATTTATTTTAGTTTCACAACTGAGTTTAGTTAAATTTCGATATCTTTGTAATCCTCCTAAGGCATTTAATATGTCATCCTCATTAATTGTCGTAATCGTTAAAGTAACAATAGTATCATCATAAACAATATCTGATACTTCTATAGTTGATTCTAATTCTTCTACATTCTTCTGATTAAAACTTGGAGATAATTCCTTATTTAATGAATAAATTTGATAATGATTCATAATTTGCCTGATCAAAATTTTGAATAATTCGAGATAAATCTCCATGTGATGTATTATTAATACTAGAATTAAGTGACAATTGAAGGTTTGATTCTTTATTATTCATTTGATCATTCTCTATTATGGTTTCTTTTGTAATA